CAATGAATTCGTGAAACTTCCCATTTCTTATTTTTATATGATTTTAAAGAATTCCTTAAATGGCATGACAGTGGCTTGGAAAACATATATGACCTTTACACAGATGCAGGAGTCCTAATCGATTTCAACGTGCTCAGAGCAAAAACTAACCTTACTGGAACTTATTAGTGTTATTTCAAATTACTAAAAGCTCTTCCAAAGGAATTTACAAACAAGTTTAACTCATTAAGGCCGAGAGACGCATATATGGGGCAAATTCATCAGCTCCTCACAGCGAGTGACGTGTTTATGGGGCAGGTAATTGGCAGTTTCTCACAGCGAGAGCCACATATATTTGTCAACAGAAAGCACCTCTTATTCAGCGGAGATGCACATGTGTGTTGTACTTTTAAAAATCGCACTGTACCTAGTATTTCAGCCAATTTAGTAGTACTGAGCAAATATTAGTTTTTCTTGCGAGAGATGCTACCTTTAGTGTCAATCAGAAGAAGTATTTAAAGTGTATTGATAGCAATTGCTAATCATTATCATAGGCTTGAACAGCGTTTGGCAAATGAACACATGTCGGCGATAAAGGGCATTATGATGTTTTTACAGAGGTAAGTGTCTGGTATTCTTTATACTTAAATACTAATTAGATGTAATGGTTTAGAGGTTACTGAAGATTATGTTTTCTTCAACTTCGAAACAATATACGAATTTTCAAGGACATACAAAGAATTCAGACACAACTGAATAGTTTGAATTTATATTTTAGGTATTATTACGTTGTCATGTTTCATAATGTATAAGCACAAATAATTATACATCCAAGCTCGAATACATTAGACATCATTTAACTTACTAATTTGAAGCTTACTGAATTGTAACTAGTTATTTTCCATAATCTAAAGTTGATATTGTTACCTAATGGAATATCGCGCCTTTGCATCGAATGTAGTACATGTCAGTGTTATTACAACAATGAAATATTTTACTACGTTTGTTACAAAACACAGTAAGTAGGTAATTAAAAGAATTCTCACACATAGACAGCAGTAATATCATAAGTTATTACATGTAAACCATTCAAAGGTATTTCAAGCATTTTTGTTCAAGCTGTTGAAAGTTTCATGTTGATTTTTCTATGCAATGGTACATGAGTATTGTGTAAAACATTTGTTTTTTGATCTCTGTAATTATCAAATCCGGTGTAATTATCACGTGTATCAATGAACTCAGTATTGATCCATCGTCAATAAAAGCTGGATAGTATATCAGCTACGGTATCGATACACATGCGTATAATCTTTCAATCAGATTACAGTAATGAGATAATTGAATACCTCTCACGACCTTGAAGTAACAGCCTCCGGTAGAATGCATATGTAGATACGTCCTCTTTGAAAGGTTTGTCCAGTGACAAGTTTAAAATAAACAGATGCGCTGTTATATCATTGGACAACTTGCGTATGGAGTCACGCCGGCGCCCTCTCTGTAATGTTTATGCATGTATGCACATCTGTAATCTTATGAACCTCGTTTGCATTCAATATAAATACAGGCACGCCCTCCTTCATAAATATTTGGAGTGTGTGTATGTGTGTTCAACTGCAAGTTTATACACAATAATCATTCAGTATAGTGTCATTTCTCGAATTCTGTAATACGTGTACTTCAGTTTGGATATTCATTCGTATCAACGTGAAGATTATATTTACATGTACAGCAAACCTTTATGTTTTATGTACTAGCTGTGTGCGTAAAATCTGTATAAAAATAAAGTCTCCACTCAATGGTTGGATTTCAATCGCTTTGTTTTACGTATCGAAAAACACTAAAATAAGGCCAAATATACTCGCCAAAGTGTCTATCTACTCCTATTTGTCTTATGGGTAACTGTTACATGATAGCTTGAGTTGATAAATCCGAAACCCAGCATATCGACTGGTCAACGATATAGCCAATAATCAATCTCTATCCAAGCTGTTGAGTGACCAAACGTGCTCTTCAAAAATTTCGCCCACGCCCCATCACCTGTCCTTTCCTCTGTGACAGGTATCTCATGATACGATTGGTCACAAATAACATATTACCAGCCATTATATTGAACAGTTGAGATACCGAACGTTCTATTCGGGGAATTTGATTACGCCCTATCACATGACTCTTTTTTTAAATTTGTATGCAAGGAATATGTAGTATACATTTTTTATATGTATGTTTGTATGGTCACGTATGTTTTCTGCATTAAATCTACATGAAACAAATTAATGCCAAGCTATGAATGTGCTCTATGTTAGTCACAGACTAGCGTTATAGTACTTTCATTCAAATAATTTGTATACACTAGAAATGTATCGGCAAAAACGCTTTTTTCGTCGAAGATGATAAAGTATGTAAATAAATTCTTCTTTACAGTATGTCATTGTCATAGATGTTTTGTAAAATTAAACCTCACACGATGATGTGAGAGGGAGAATTGTTTATGTGTGTCTCATCTCTTACAGACAAAGAATACATGCAAATTGTGATAAAATATAAATGTACAAGCCGCCAAAGGTCTACAAGAGAAGCTTACAATAAAATTACATAAAACTTTGCAATACACGATATGTATTAACACCTGCTTTCTTCCAACATATATCTTTACGACACAATTAAACAATCTGGACTTGTTTGTACGACTAGACAGTTTCCTGTCATCCCCGAAACCTGCCAGGGAAATCAGGTGTGATTTGCACTAATTAGTCTCGGCACAGCGACTGGGCAATCAGCAAGGGGTTCCTGCAGGTGTTGAGTAGTGAGGTGGCTCTCGGGCTTAATGAGTTTAAAATGACCTTACATATATAATTGATAAAGAAAGCTATCGTGTCATGTTGAAACGACTAATATCGTCAAAAGACCGAAAATTCATCTACCAAACATTATGTGATAAGGTTAGAGACACATTAGACACATTCCAAATAAATGGGAATCCAAACTAGACATGCCAATCTCAACAGATTCTATGTCAAAATGTTTTTCTATTATCAACAACTGCTATGTTGATAATAAGACAAGAAACGTTGAGTACAAAAGTCTTCATCGCATTTTAACAACACAAACTTTTCTTCATTTCTTCATGATATTTTGTTACGGTTAAATAATTGCCGTGACAAAAGGATCCCCTTTGAACCAGCAAAATATAACACAGACAAGTCTAAAATATTCAATAATATATTGAGCAAACAATGAGCAACCTACAATGAATCACAATACAGATTTCTAATATAATGCAATTGAGTCACAAATCTAAAGTTATGGGTCACATATATCAAATATTAACTCACCAGAGTCTTGGTAATCACAGTGAGATCAGATATTGTAAATGGAGCTTGTTTACAAATGAAAGCAGTCAGGCACGAAGTGTCAGGGTCAGACGATTGCGATGTGATGAAGGACGAAGCCGAGGCAAACAACGATGGGCAACTCCAGTGAAAGATCCATTTACTTCCGTAAGTTAGTCCGAGTGTCAGTCCTTGCGCGTCGCACAACACAACAGCCAGCCTTTATCTATACTGACACAGATTCTCGAACTATCCAGCAAAGCATGGCTGTATCATTAACCACTTAGATCATTCTCGAAACAAATTGAACATACGACATGACGATGTCAACAAATGAACATCCGGTCAAGGGAGGTAACTCTGAAGCGCTATCATAAAGGCGTGCCGCCAAAATACTGTTGCCACTGAACATATATGACGCGAAATGTGACCCACAACCAACACTCAAAACTTTAAACATTGTGACTCATAATATTATCACCTAACCAATGTTATTACAAATTACAAAAAACACACTCTCGTTACAATAGGGAAATCTGACAGCAGTCACTGCTTTTTCTGCACTGAGGAACCAGAAACGCATGAACATCTTTTCTATGATTGCAGGAAAACTCAAAATCTGATGAGACAGTTTCGAATATGGTTTGAAGAAACAACCAAGACGAAATTAAAAATATCAAAATCAATTATCTTACTTGGAGACACCAATCAAAGCATTCTGTTAAACAATTTGTATAATATTCTCAAAATGTACATTTATACATGAAAAAATAAAGAAACGAAGTTGCAATTCCCAGGTTTGATAAGAATATCAAGCAAATTTATAACACTGAAAAATATATTTACGGCCCTGCTAATACCACACTAAAAAAATAAATGGTCAACATTGATGCCGACACTTACAGCGTAAACACGCAGCCACCAACACGCACCCTCCCCCATCTTATCCCCTCCATTCCAATCTACTCATTCCCCCTCTCCTTCCCTATTTCCACAGTTTCACTTCTAGAACTTATCCTATATTTGCCCTAATTTTTCAATATACAGTAGTAGTAAAGCAAATGCTGTACAATTCCGAGGATGTTACTCACATTCGTGGATAATATCTTCATCTCTATGTGAAGTGGATATATATATTTGTATTCACAAAGTAGCAGTGCAACATCTCGTTATATATATGTACTTATGTATCGGATATGTAACATCTATCCCTATGCTAATAAAAAAAAGAAATAATAATTCACGGAATCACACGTGACAACCGACGTTATCAACTCACACAGTCACTCATAACAACGTAAGTTATCTATTCACACAGTCACACATAACAACGTAAGTTATTTATTCACACAGTCACACATTACACCGTAAGTTATCAACTCACACAGTCTCACATAACAACGTAAGTAATCTATTCACACAGTCACACATAACAACGTAAGTTATCTATTCACACAGTCACACATAACAAGGTAAATTGTCTATTCAAGGAGTCACACATGACAAAGTAAGTCATCAATCACACAGTCACGCATACCAAAGTAAGTTATCAATTCACACAGTCACACATGACAACGTAAGTTGTCGAGTCACGGAGTCTCACATGACAACGTAGCTATCTATTTACGGAGTCACACGTCACTACATAAGTCACACTACTTACACATGTACAAGGGACATTACTTTTACACATGCACGAGGGACATTACATACACATGTACAATTGACATTACATACACATGTACAATTGACATTACTTACACATCTACAAGGGACAGTACTTACACATGTACAATTGACATTACTTGGACATGTACAATTGACATTACCCCGTTACTGTCCGGAATAAATAGGGTTCGTATTATGGAAATAACTTATTATCACATAAACTCTCTAAATAATACTAGTATATTCTGCCTAATGTTGAAAATACATCAAGATTCTAGTTCATTAAAATAATACACTTTGTCTTCTTTTCGAAGGTCAATATACTTTCGAGTCGGGACAAAACTCATATCATTGCCCCAAAACAATTTGGCCAAAATCATATTCATGGCTGCTTGATCAAATCTGTGACATTTGTTGTACTCTCGCATGTACGTGTGACATACTATCAATGTTTCGGGGTGAGCAGGACACATGCACCGGGGGCTCATGGCACAAGCAACCCACGGTTTCAGAACAACCTCCCTGACGAAACGTTCATCTTTTAGGACAAGGAATCCTGGTTGTTTCTCTATTATTTGGGCATAGTGACACGTCTTTTCGCCAAAGTAATCAAACATGGTCCTCTTCGCGTGGTCGGCTACTGAGTAACGTGGTGTTCCGTCCTCTATTATAATGCCTTTGGTCTCGACCTCTTGGAGAAGTGGTCCGATACTTGATTTGAGGAAGCGGACTGCAGCGTCAGCCCAGATGATGACGTCAGCTGACCGGATATGTGCCTGTGAGTTGAAACAAGTTTGAGAGTGAGCGAGTTAAGAAATACAGTTCCACCTACCCCTAAATATAGTGGAATAAGGAACACTTTTGCCCTGAACTATTATAAAGTTAAAGCGTCCTCGTGCTTTAGCAAGCCCTAGAACAGGTTACCAGGTTATAATGCAACCACCTGATAATTATGGATACAGGCTCGCTGACCTGTATGAAACATGTCATCGGTTCCCATTTGCGTAGATCGGTGCTCATGTTGTTCATCACTGGATTGTCTTGTCCAGACTCAATTATGTGCCTACCGCCGCCATACAGCTGGAATATTGCTCCGTGCGGCGTAAAACAAAACTCACTAAGTCACTTTCAGCAGAACATAGAAAACAATAGATTAGGTTCTACAACCATTTACAGGTGTAACTTTGAATGGCATTTTCACTGTGTAGACCACCTCTTGTATTTAAAAGACTTTTCAGGTGTAACACCGTATTGTGTTTCATACAGCACCACCAACTTTCCAGGTGCAACACTGCGAGGCGTGTTAGGAGTCGACAATGTGGACGATATGATGTGTTCCTCGGAATGTTTGAAATTAGTTTGTGCCAAGTCTTACAGACATGTGAGGTAAAATTGGGTTTAACGTCGTGCTTGAGAATATTTCGTTCATATCACGACGTGCATGCGTGTGTATGTGTATATGCGGCTGCTTGTACTAGCCCAGACATAAGCTGGTTTTATAGTGCTAGCCCACTGAGATACCATGCAGAAGTGAAGCATGAATACCCCACTCAGAGACATTATACTGACTTCAAGCCGACCAGTCCTTGTTGTACCCATGAATGCCGAGCGCCAGGCAGGGACCAACAAGTACCATATTTTGACGTCTTATGGTATGACGCGGTCGGGGATCGAACCCACGACCTTCCGCTCTCCGGGCTACAGAAATATACACGAAAGACACTACAAAAATGTGTCGTTTGTGACAGTCAGACAGTTGGGTCCTCATTTCAGAGAAGTGAATGTAATCGTTCTCATACAAATACATGAGGCATATTTTATATATTTAACGGTCCTTTTCTTATAAAGCTTTACCTGTATAATGAATGCCTTCCAAGTGTAACACCGAAGGTTCTGCAGCCTGACTGGCATCTGGTTCCAGGGGAATCTACGGATCTGGCACCTGCAATGCTTCCGCAACTGAAACGTGAAGAGTGAGTGAGTGGATGCGGGTGAGATGGCTTTAACACCTGATACATCGTCCAGTTTCTGCGTAGTAGTCTGATCTCACAGTCCCTGAACCACATTAATTTCCCTACTGCCAAGCCCTCTCTACAATGCTAAAGCCCGAAATGAAGCAAGTCTAAAATTTCTCAGGTTCAATATCAGGTCTTCATGGGACTCCTTTTCAATTTATATGGGTTTGTTTGTTACTATCAAAATTGTATATATTCAGAGACTAAGCGTTAGTACATTTGCGTAGTAGTGAGTGTGTGAGTATGGTTTTCCGTCGCTTTTAGCAACATTCAAGCAATACTACGGTGGGGACAACAGAAATGAGCTTCACACATTGTACCCATGTGGGGAATTGAACCAAGAGTCAGCGTGACGAGCGGACGCTGTAACCGTTAGGCTACTCCACCACCCCTTGCATTGTAGAGACAGATGCAGATACACTCACAACACCTAATCACTCGAACCTAATCACAACTTATCACACAACCCTTATCCATAACACAAAACTTGATCAAATCAGTCACCACCACAATCCCTGATTACACAACCCTTATCCGAGACACAAAACATGATCAAATCAATCCCAACAAACAATTTCTGACCACTCAATCCTAATCACAAACACAAACCCTAATCAATATACACTGGTCCCAGTCATGATACCTGATCAATCAAAACTAATCAATCCTAATCCCAATCACAGTACCTGCTCCCTCTGCCAGTCTTCCAGCCCAATGTCATAGTAGATCAGGGTGAAGTTGTCCATTTCTGGAACCACGTTCTGATGAACACTTTGGATTAATCCCTGCGATTCATAAAAATGGTCCGAGGATGCAGCGGTTAGGATCACTAAACGCTTGCCTGATTTCTGGACGCCAAAAAGTCCAAACAAAAGGCTGAATAATGTAACATTCAGATTGTTCGTTGTTTGCAATAGACGTCCCAATCTCTGGGGCGCTTCCTCCGGCTGTCTGGGACTACAGTGAGTATCCACACATGGGTTTCCTGTAACAAAACACAAAACAAGGATTGTTCCACCTTGTACATGTAGAAACAATTTCAGAAGTTGCAAATACATTATTTAAAGAGAATTATTTATAATTCGAAGTACGGGACCGGACTTCCTCTGTTAGAAATAATACAGTTTCCCCCTCAACGAAAAATCCAAACAATTCATTGTGACTAGGTTTACAGTAACCAAACACAATTACCTGGCATATGCAAAGGATTTGTCAAGCTCGAAAATACAATGTTTTCAGAAAATTATTAAGGCTGAAGGTACGGAACCGAATTTTCTCTGTGAGACATAATAATTCCTCTTTTCCACGAAGGATCCGAACAATTCACTGTGACCAGCAACAGTATTTATTCTGAACACTTACACAGTGAACGATTGTTTTCAAACCACTCGTTATATGTTCAAGAATTTTGTGGAACACTAAAGACATTAGCTAATCATTGTGGTTTTATGTTTTTGAAAGTGTATATTACTTTTTCGTTGACAGACTGACTAACTGAGTTTGGTTTTATGTCGCTTTTAGCAATATTCCAGCAACATCACGGCGGGTGACCATGTAAAACATGATACGGTTGACCATGTAAAACATGTTACTGTTGACCATGTAAAACATGATACAGTTGACCATGTAAGACATGTTACAGTTGACCATGTAAAACATGTTACTGTTGACCATGTAAAACATGTTACTGTTGACCATGTAAAACATGTTACAGTTGACCATGTACAACATGATACAGTTGACCATGTAAAATCTGTTACATTTGACCGTGTAAAACATGTTACAGTTGATCATGTAAAACATGTTACAGTTGACCATGTAAAACATGTTACAGTTGACCACGTAAAACATGATACAGTTGACCATGTAAAACATGATACAGTTGACCACGTAAAACATGATACAGTTGATCATGTAAAATATGTTACAGTTGACCGTGTAAAACATGTTACAGTTGACCACGTAAAACATGTTATAGTTGACCATGTTAAACATGTACAGTTGACCATGTACAACATGATACAGTTGACCATGTAAAACATGATACGGTTGACCATGTAAAACATGATACAGTTGACCATGTAAAACATGATACAGTTGACCATGTAAGACATGTTACAGTTGACCATGTAAAACATGTTACTGTTGACAATGTAAAACATGTTACTGTTGACCATGTAAAACATGTTACAGTTGACCATGTACAACATGATACAGTTGACCATGTAAAATCTGTTACATTTGACCGTGTAAAACATGTTACAGTTGATCATGTAAAACATGTTACAGTTGACCATGTAAAACATGTTACAGTTGACCACGTAAAACATGATACAGTTGACCATGTAAAACATGATACAGTTGACCACGTAAAACATGATACAGTTGATCATGTAAAATATGTTACAGTTGACCGTGTAAAACATGTTACAGTTGACCACGTAAAACATGTTATAGTTGACCATGTTAAACATGTACAGTTGACCATGTACAACATGATACAGTTGACCATGTAAAATATGATACAGTTGACCATGTACAACATGATACAGTTGACCATGTAAAAGATGATACAGTTGACCATGTAAAACATGTTACAGCTGACCGTGTAAAACATGTTACAGTTGACCGTGTAAAACATGTTACAGTTGACCACGTAAAACATGTTACAGTTGATCATGTAAAACATGTTACAGTTGACCATGTAAAACATGATACAGTTGACCATGTACAACATGATACAGTTGACCGTGTAAAACATGATACAGTTGACCATGTACAGCATGATACAATTGACCATGTAAAACATGATGCAGTTGACCATGTAAAACATGATACAGTTGACCATGTACAACATGATACAGTTGACCGTGTAAAACATGTTACAGTTGACCATGTAAAACATGATGCAGTTGACCGTGTAAAACATGATACAGTTGACCGTGTAAAACATGTTACAGTTGACCATGTAAAACATGATGCAGTTGACCATGTAAAACATGATACAGTTGACCATGTAAAACATGTTACAGTTGACCGTGTAAAACATGTAGATTTTACCATGTAAAACATGATGCAGTTGACCATGTAAAACATGATACAGTTGACCATGTAAAACATGTTACAGTTGATCATGTAAAACATGTTACAGTTGACCATGTAAAACATGATACAGTTGACCATGTAAGACATGTTACAGTTGACCATGTAAAACATGTTACTGTTGACCATGTAAAACATGTTACTGTTGACCATGTAAAACATGTTACAGTTGACCATGTACAACATGATACAGTTGACCATGTAAAATCTGTTACATTTGACCATGTACAACATGTTACAGTTGATCATGTAAAACATGTTACAGTTGACCATGTAAAACATGTTACAGTTGACCACGTAAAACATGATACAGTTGATCATGTAAAATATGTTACAGTTGACCGTGTAAAACATGTTACAGTTGACCACGTAAAACATGTTATAGTTGACCATGTTAAACATGTACAGTTGACCATGTACAACATGATACAGTTGACCATGTAAAATATGATACAGTTGACCATGTACAACATGATACAGTTGACCATGTAAAAGATGATACAGTTGACCATGTAAAACATGTTACAGCTGACCGTGTAAAACATGTTACAGTTGACCGTGTAAAACATGTTACAGTTGACCATGTAAAACATGTTACAGTTGACCATGTAAAACATGTTACAGTTGACCATGTAAAACATGTTACAGTTGACCATGTAAAACATGATACAGTTGACCATGTACAACATGATACAGTTGACCGTGTAAAACATGATACAGTTGACCATGTACAGCATGATACAATTGACCATGTAAAACATGATGCAGTTGACCATGTAAAACATGATACAGTTGACCATGTACAACATGATACAGTTGACCGTGTAAAACATGTTACAGTTGACCATGTAAAACATGATGCAGTTGACCGTGTAAAACATGATACAGTTGACCGTGTAAAACATGTTACAGTTGACCGTGTAAAACATGATGCAGTTGACCATGTAAAACATGATACAGTTGACCATGTAAAACATGTTACAGTTGACCGTGTAAAACATGTAGATTTTACCATGTAAAACATGATGCAGTTGACCATGTAAAACATGATACAGTTGACCATGTACAACATGTTACAGTTGATCATGTAAAACATGTTACAGTTGACCATGTAAAACATGATGCAGTTGACCATGTAAAACATGATACAGTTGACCATGTAAAACATGTTACAGTTGATTATGTAAAACATGTTACAGTTGACAATGTAAAACATGATGCAGTTGACCATGTAAAACATGATACAGTTGACCATGTAAAACATGTTACAGTTGATAATGTAAAAACATGTACAGTTGACCGTGTAAAACATGATACAGTTGACCATGTAAAACATGTTACAGTTGACCATGTTAAACATGTACAGTTGACCATGTACAACATGATACAGTTGACCATGTAAAATATGATACAGTTGACCATGTACAACATGATACAGTTGACCATGTAAAATATGATACAGTTGACCATGTACAACATGATACAGTTGACCATGTAAAAGATGATACAGTTGACCATGTAAAACATGTTACAGTTGACCGTGTAAAACATGTTACAGTTGACCGTAAAAAACATGTTACAGTTGACCACGTAAAACATGTTACAGTTGATCATGTAAAACATGTTACAGTTGACCATGTAAAACATGATACAGTTGACCGTGTAAAAACATGATACAGTTGACCGTGTAAAAACATGATACAGTTGACACAGTTGACCGTGTAAAACATGATGCAGTTGACCATGTAAAACATGTTACAGTTGACCATGTAAAACATGTAGATTTTACCATGTAAAACATGATGCAGTTGACCATGTAAAACATGATACAGTTGACCATGTAAAACATGTTACAGTTGATCATGTAAAACATGTTACAGTTGACCATGTAAAACATGATACAGTTGACCATGTAAGACATGTTACAGTTGACCATGTAAAACATGTTACTGATGACCATGTAAAACATGTTACTGTTGACCATGTAAAACATGTTACAGTTGACCATGTACAACATGATACAGTTGACCATGTAAAATCTGTTACATTTGACCGTGTAAAACATGTTACAGTTGATCATGTAAAACATGTTACAGTTGACCATGTAAAACATGTTACAGTTGACCACGTAAAACATGATACAGTTGACCACGTAAAACATGTTATAGTTGACCATGTTAAACATGTACAGTTGACCATGTACAACATGATACAGTTGACCATGTAAAATATGATACAGTTGACCATGTACAACATGATACAGTTGACCATGTAAAACATGAGATGATACAGTTGACCATGTAAAACATGTTACAGCTGACCGTGTAAAACATGTTACAGTTGACCGTGTAAAACATGTTACAGTTGACCATGTAAAACATGTTACAGTTGATCATGTAAAACATGTTACAGTTGACCATGTAAAACATGTTACAGTTGACCATGTAAAACATGATACAGTTGACCATGTACAACATGATACAGTTGACCGTGTAAAACATGATACAGTTGACCATGTACAGCATGATACAATTGACCATGTAAAACATGATGCAGTTGACCATGTAAAACATGATACAGTTGACCATGTACAACATGATACAGTTGACCGTGTAAAACATGTTACAGTTGACCATGTAAAACATGATGCAGTTGACCGTGTAAAACATGATACAGTTGACCGTCTAAAACATGTTACAGTTGACCGTGTAAAACATGATGCAGTTGACCATGTAAAACATGATACAGTTGACCATGTAAAACATGTTACAGTTGACCGTGTAAAACATGTAGATTTTACCATGTAAAACATGATGCAGTTGACCATGTAAAACATGATACAGTTGACCATGTACAACATGTTACAGTTGATCATGTAAAACATGTTACAGTTGACCATGTAAAACATGATGCAGTTGACCATGTAAAACATGATACAGTTGACCATGTAAAACATGTTACAGTTGATTATGTAAAACATGTTACAGTTGACAATGTAAAACATGATGCAGTTGACCATGTAAAACATGATACAGTTGACCATGTAAAACATGTTACAGTTGATAATGTAAAACATGTACAGTTGACCGTGTAAAACATGATACAGTTGACCATGTAAAACATGTTACAGTTGACCATGTTAAACATGTACAGTTGACCATGTACAACATGATACAGTTGACCATGTAAAATATGATACAGTTGACCATGTACAACATGATACAGTTGACCATGTAAAATATGATACAGTTGACCATGTACAACATGATACAGTTGACCATGTAAAAGATGATACAGTTGACCATGTAAAACATGTTACAGTTGACCGTGTAAAACATGTTACAGTTGACCGTGTAAAACATGTTACAGTTGACCACGTAAAACATGTTACAGTTGATCATGTAAAACATGTTACAGTTGACCATGTAAAACATGATACAGTTGACCATGTACAACATGATACAGTTGACCGTGTAAAACATGATACAGTTGACCGTGTAAAACATGTTACAGTTGACCATGTAAAACATGATGCAGTTGACCATGTAAAACATGTTACAGTTGACCATGTAAAACATGTAGATTTTACCATGTAAAACATGATGCAGTTGACCATGTAAAACATGATACAGTTGACCATGTAAAACATGTTACAGTTGATCATGTAAAACATGTTACAGTTGACCATGTAAAACATGATACAGTTGACCATGTAAGACATGTTACAGTTGACCATGTAAAACATGTTACTGTTGACCATGTAAAACATGTTACTGTTGACCATGTAAAACATGTTACAGTTGACCATGTACAACATGATACAGTTGACCATGTAAAATCTGTTACATTTGACCGTGTAAAACATGTTACAGTTGATCATGTAAAACATGTTACAGTTGACCATGTAAAACATGTTACAGTTGACCACGTAAAACATGATACAGTTGACCACGTAAAACATGTTATAGTTGACCATGTTAAACATGTACAGTTGACCATGTACAACATGATACAGTTGACCATGTAAAATATGATACAGTTGACCATGTACAACATGATACAGTTGACCATGTAAAAGATGATACAGTTGACCATGTAAAACATGTTACAGCTGACCGTGTAAAACATGTTACAGTTGACCGTGTAAAACATGTTACAGTTGACCATGTAAAACATGTTACAGTTGATCATGTAAAACATGTTACAGTTGACCATGTAAAACATGTTACAGTTGACCATGTAAAACATGATACAGTTGACCATGTACAACATGATACAGTTGACCGTGTAAAACATGATACAGTTGACCATGTACAGCATGATACAATTGACCATGTAAAACATGATGCAGTTGACCATGTAAAACATGATACAGTTGACCATGTACAACATGATACAGTTGACCGTGTAAAACATGTTACAGTTGACCATGTAAAACATGATGCAGTTGACCGTGTAAAACATGTTACTGTTGACCGTGTAAAACATGTTACAGTTGACCGTGTAAAACATGATGCAGTTGACCATGTAAAACATGATACAGTTGACCATGTAAAACATGTTACAGTTGACCGTGTAAAACATGATACAGTTGACCATGTAAAACATGATACAGTTGACCGTGTAAAACATGATACAGTTGACCATGTACAACATGTTACAGTTGATCATGTAAAACATGTTACAGTTGACCATGTAAAACATGATGCAGTTGACCATGTAAAACATGATACAGTTGACCATGTAAAACATGTTACAGTTGATTATGTAAAACATGTTACAGTTGACAATGTAAAACATGATGCAGTTGACCATGTAAAACATGATACAGTTGACCATGTAAAACATGTTACAGTTGATAATGTAAAACATGTACAGTTGACCGTGTAAAACATGATACAGTTGACCATGTAAAACATGTTACAGTTGACCATGTAGAAGATGATACAATTGACCATGTAAAACATGATGCAGTTGACCATGTAAAACATGATACAGTTGACCATGTAAAACATGATACAGTTGACCATGTAAAACATGTTACAGTTGACCATGTAAAAGATGATGCAGTTGACCATGTAAAACATGTTACAGTTGACCATGTAAAACATGTTACAGGTGACCATGTAACTGGCACTGTATTGGCATCTCGTGTGTGGCCTACTTACTCACCAGACACTGGTTCGGTATCACAGGAATTTAATTCTGGATTTGTTCTCCATAGCCCCGCTTGCTGTAGATCTATAGGTATAAGACAGACATTTTAATACACAGCATTACTATTCAGCCGTTGTACTCTCTTGTTTTCATCTAAAGTACACCAGGATTTAGCATACATATATCTTTTTACATGCAATCAATCAAAACAGGAACACGTACCTTTTATTTTCTTCTTGTAATCGTGTAGCAATTCCTCAAATTCAAACGTTTCAAATGGCACTGAAGAAAGGAAAACATCATTTAAATGTTCAAATGGGGTCATGAAAAACAAAAATGTGGAGAGAGAGATTAACTGACTGGTGATCAATCGTCAACCCATTCAGAGTTTTTCACATATTGAACCCATGTAGGAAAATAGAACTCGCGTTTTCGGTGTGACGAGCGAACGCTTTAACCACTAGGTTACCAAAGACATGGAAGACGTACCTCACTTCGGGCGTTTTACTCAAACTTGATTACGATGCTAACTGTTCTAGTTTGAGAGAGCAAAGAACCACGCTGTCAGATCATACCGATTCCATAATGGCTTATCTAACGATTTATCTTACCTCACATATAAGTGTCCTATAAGTAATATAGTAATTCTCTATCTCGAATAACATTGAATCACGTAAGATTTACGGAAATTACCGATGTTTTGCGAATGCAAATCGATGGAAGGGAGATAACTCTAAATCGGTTTTTCTTGTCAACAAATTCTAGCGATAGCTACAAAAGATTTGTGAAAATATTGAAAATTAACATTGAGGTGTTCGCTAAGATAAATACGTTGTTCACTGGTCCCTCGGGGCCCATGGGTTGATGTACCCTCGATGTTTGTTTATGTTCCCTGAGCCCTTCTTGACAAGTGAACAACTTGTAATATGTCTGCAAGTTACACCTTATGTGTAACACGGGTGACCAAGTGTGCAACGCTGTAGGAGCTGTACAGCGTTACCTCCCTTTGTTTTTAAGAATCCTGTCATCATGGGTTCGAATCCGAGGTTTGCACTGTTTTGTTTCAAGATTTGCCAGTGCCGATCCAGTGTTTGTGGGTTTAATCGACGAGGTCAGCTTCACTCCAAACATCCCCATCCCTTCAAATTCCCAACAGGCAGATATAACTGACATATTGTTCAAAGTATGTACATAAATTACGTCACTCACACACATCTTCTCGTCACATAGATGCAATAAATTGTTGCTGAATTAATGAAGAGACATTTTGATTTCACTATGAAGAGAAAGTGAGAGAGTCATGTTTTAAGCCGATTTAAAAGCAATTTTCTGGCAATAATGACAAGGGAAATTGACGTAAAAATTGCAACCATTTGAGAAAGCGAACCCGGTCCTTTGCGAAACGAGCCTAACATTATCCCTACTGCCCGTTCAAAGACAGAATAATGAAAAAAGTCAAACCTGGATTTATCCGTTCCCGCAATTCCATTAAGTAGGAAAAGTCTATGTCTAGTGCCATGTCTGAAACATAGTGACGTCGATTTATTATAGATCCCTTATTTATAAAAATACAATCAAATAATGATTATACTATGAATTATTATAATATACTGCGATAACATAATCAAACAAGTTAACCGTTTTAAATAGGTTGGGAAGAGTTGAATTGTATTTATGGCATCTTTTAAGCAAACGTTTGAATGCACTTGCTAACATGTGATGAACGTGATGTGTGGATGCCTGTGTGACTGGTTGTCATGAGTGAGTGAATATAGTTTTACGCCGCTTTTAGCAATATTGCAGCAATATCACGGCTGGGGACACCAGAAATAGGCTTCGCACATTGTACCCATGTGGAGAATCGAAGCCGGGTCTTCACTTTAACCATTAGGATACCCCACCATTCCCGGCTATTTCATGAAGTTTGTTTTTTCGTTTGTTTGAGGGGCGTTGGGGTAGCATAGTGGTTAAGGCATTCGCTCGTCACGCCAAAGGCCCGGGTTCGATTACCAACATGGGTACACTTTGTGAAGCCCATTTCTGGTGTCCCCCGCAGTGATATTGCTGGAATATTGCTAAGAACGGCGTAAAACCATACTCAGTCAGTCAGTCAGTTGTCTGTTTGATTGTTTGACGGTTGATGTATCTGTATGTTCTTTTGTTGTTTTAAGCTGCACTCAGCGTTATTTAACCTATATAATGTCGGCCAGTCAGTAATCACACCTGGACAAGAAAATCCAGTAACTGACATCATGAGCATCGTTGGATACGATCGCATGCGTCAACCAGGTCAGCGAACCTGACCACACGAGCCCGATTCTCGCCTCTCTTGACAAGGGTATCCGAATTGAGTAGATCGATGCTCATGATGTCAATCACTGGATTGCCTGGATCAACACCTCTGACGCTGATTTAATTGGAATACTCACTCATTCACCCAACTAAGGTACCTGTGAAGGTCCGGGTTAGAATTGATCTTCAGTAACCCATGCTTGTCGTAAGAGGCAACTAACGGGATCGGGTGGTCAGGCTCACTGGCTTGGTTGACACATGTCATCGGTTCCCAATTGCGCAGATCGATGCTCATGCTGTTGGTCACTGGATTGTCTGGACCAGACTCGATTATTTACATACTTCTGCCATAAAGCTGGAATATTGCTGAGCGCGGCGTAAAACTGAACTCACTCACTCACTGTGGGTCAATAGAATGATGGAAGGCGGATTTTCCCAAAAATATTCAATCGATATTTCCCTTGAGAACAACTAGTAACTACAGTCTACATAGATGACATCAAGACTTTCAGAGCGAGATCATGAAAATCACATAAGAAAAAACCCTGATATATTCAACACTTTTTTCACATTTTCAACTTTGCAGGTCACTCCACGACATGTTATTTCACAAGAATATGTATTAGATATACCCACACTTTCCGAGGTGTGCCACTCAATACCCCTACTGTTTGAGTCGTGTGGCCTCCGAGGCGTTAGCCGAGGAGACCACACGACTCAATCAGTAGGGGTATTGGGCGACACACCGAGGAAGTGTGGGTACATCTGACTTATACCTCACTTCTGGTCGAGTTACGAGTTTATTATAACACTTTATGTTCTAATTATGACAAAAAAAATTATTTCTTTTCCATCTGTTTCATTTATTTTTAGCCCACTGGTTAAGACCCTCAAATGTCCCGCGTCTATAGTCTGTTTGCAGTGAAACCTACCGATCAATTTCACTTTAAACAAAAAAGTACTCAAATAAGTGAAATTAAGATTGCGAATCTCATAATTTGACCTTGCCAAATGAACATCTCAGAATTATATTCAACTTAGAATAAAATTTGTTTAACAAATGATCATAGTTTCAAATCAATATTATTGGTTTGTATTACAATTTTAGGGGGGTAAGAGCAGTAGTTGGAACAGTGAAAGAAATGCCCGTGCGGTACGTAACAAGCGTTAACTTCTACCAAACCTGCATGTTCTGGGTGTTTCATTTAATGCGCACACCCCATTGTAATACAAACCAATAACAGCGCTTTGAAACTATGATCGTTTGTTAAACAACTTTTATCCTAAGCTGAATATAATTCTGAGATTTAAATGTTCAATAGGCAAGGTAAAATTATGGGGATTTGCAATCTTAGTTTCACTTTATTTGATTTACTTTTTTAAAGTGATATTCATCGGTACGTTTTCACTGCAAACAGACTATAAGCAGTCGATTGCACGTGCATGCACGGGCTTGCACGAGTTCCCACGATTTTAAACACCAGTTCGGGCGCGAGAATGACTTCAAGTAGCCCCAAATATGCGCAATATTACTGATAATTGACATTTGTATGGGCAGACCAATGCGCATGCGTTCTCTGACTCGCATGTGGCATAGAAAACATTTGGAAGATCACACGTTCGTTCGCCATGGATGCTGAAGAGTGGACAGAGGATTTTCTTTCTCAAATTGACAATTCGTTAGCGTCACATTTCGACCTGGATGATAAGGAAGATTTTGAAACAATCGAAATCTCAGTGTGAGTCCATTGAAATAAAATTATATTTCGCCGTTTGTTGTCTTTATTGCTTCGGTATACCCTAGTGAAAAAGTGTAGGTGTATCATTGATACACCGACACTTTTGACAGATGTACCGGTCAATACACCTACACTTTTAACAAAGGAAACCATGGCAACGAGACCGGAAGTTGGGTATAAGTTAACGGCGGACTGCCCTATATTTACAAACACCTAAATAATATCACAGAGAAGTAACAAAGGCATGATAGCATATGTGAAGTGTTGTTAGCCATCGTCAAAACATGCCCTTCATGGTTTAAAATACCTCCATTTTAGTACATAATTTTGCTGTAGAAAAAACATATGTGAGAAAGACAACAGAATACCGAATACATTCCGCCATTTTTGTGTGAGAGGGTGAGTTTAGTTTGAAGCCGCTTTTAGCAATATTACAGTGGGGGACACCCGGTGATATTGCTGAGTTTTCCTGTCTACATTAATAAACGACTCGTCGATCACTGAATTTCGTCGTTTTCACTGAAAATGGGGAATTATGTTTGTATCTAGAAGCAAGCGTGGGACACATTTTCAAAGTAGTTGTGACTATCTTCCTAATGTTATTAACAGTTCCAACTTAATAACCACAAAGACATAGTTCCTAACAATATGAATCCAGGGGGCCATATTCTGAATACTTGAACCTAACTGACGTCGACAAGTTTTAAACTACAGGTCCTCTTTATCTATCACCATTTTACGGTTGGGTGATTTCAATCCTGGTGTGACCCCCTTGGCACAGACTCTTGGGTATACCAGAAATGGGCTTCACACAATAGGCCCATCGAGCCCCGGTCTTCGGCGTGACGAGCGAACGCCTTAACCCCGATGCTAACTTCTTGCAGTATATTGCAATACATATCGCAACATATGCTTTCACATGGCAATATATTCCAATATGAAAACTCCCTGCAATACCCACCCCTACTAATGACCTGATGATAGGACATACTGCAGATCGTGCAATGTAACGTGAGCGCTCATTGGACAGAGCCCTTAGAGTTTCCCATTCGTGACCAACTCGTGTTATTCCGGGACAAGCCGAATAGCGACTCGTGCCCCTCTGGAAGGATTTCATATTGGTGCATGAGCATCTGAACTACTTTAAACAAGAACGATAACTCTATCCCTGTTTGATTCCAATGTTTCTAAAAATCACCTGAGCACATGTACATTGTATTGCTAGGTTGTTGTTCAGGGTTTTTTTTCACTTATTTATTTTAAAGAATTAAACCTCTTTGATACAACTAAAAGAAGGAAAAAAACATATTTGTGAAAGACATATTCTAATGTAATTATTACCAGCTGTTCACCTTATATTTCCAATTATGTTAATTAATAGGGTTCTTAATAGGATTTAATCATCACAAATGGGAATTGTTTTATTGAATATACAAATAAAATAAACAAAAATCAGCTACCTTAAATCCCAAAGCAGATACTCAAAAATGACTTTAAAATATTTCTCAAACTGAACATTCGTGTAACCTTGCTGTCACACCCCTGGTGGAATTTTAAATGAATTCGCTGAAAAAAATATGAATGACCAAAAAACAGTCAGACTAAAATATCCCCAGAGATATGAAATATAAGCCCAATGTTAAAGATGAGGGTGGTTAGTTACATACCAATACGATATTATTGTTTTGAAACTGGTAGCGATTATAATTACATTTCCTAAAATTGGTCGAAGCGCACGTACAATCTCCATCACAAGCCCGCAAGATCGTCAGAAATACACTCAGTTGGACCAGTGAGAGCAGTTATGTCAACAAACGCACGTGCGTGTATTTGAATCTCTCACCGTCACTAGCATGATTCTTATTAAAAACTTCAGAATAGGCAGCAAAATCGTCAATATGACTATATATATTTTTCATGATTTTTTAAACAATGACATAATGCCATAAACGATTTAAATACTCGGGATTATTTTTATCAAAGCACCGCGCTGATTTACGCGCGTTCTGATTGGTTTGTCGTATTTTCGCACATAACAAGTATCGACTGGAGTACGACTCTTCTTGGAGGTTGCAGAAAGGGGCGAGTGGTGACGAATGAGCAAGAGGGAAACTGTCATTCGTCACCACTCGCCCCTTTCCGTAACCTCTAATCCGGCTTGTCCCGGAATAACACGAATTGGTCACGAATGCCTCTTGCTGGAACTAAGCCGATGTATGATTCGTCCGTTAAAAATAGCGCTAACACTGTATAACGTTTTGCATTAACAGGTGATGGGGGAACACGCTGTACCCAGAAACAGGCATGTATTCACGTATGAGTGGCACGCTGAACAAAATGCGTCATTCCACTGGTTGACCATCGACTAAAGAAGATGTGCAAAAGTGTAATCATCCATACACATTGAGGAATACTTACATCGGCTGTATCGAATTTGACGGGTCACTGACAGAATAGTTTGTCCAATCAATAGGCAAATGAAAAGCGGGATTAGAACTGAAAATACATAGATAAGCAAAGGCATGTATACAACAAATCATCTCGCTTTGGGAAGTCAAGTTTAATTCTTAAATGACACAAAGAGGGAGAGGATAAAACCACCTGAATCACATATAACACTGGAAATGTGAAAAATGTGAAAATATTTCCATTCATGTGGAAGTTTGGATCCCGATTCACAAAGCATTCGTTGCGCTACGTCCTTCGTAAGCCTATGGTAAACTGTAGAGTCGTAACGTTACGAATGCTTTGTGGATTGGGACCCTGTATTCTAAAATAGTAAGTAGGGTTATGGCAACATATAAGGCTAATTAAGATAATATATTTATCAAATACATTTTCCAACTTCAGATTGTATAATAAAACTTCTCTATCTGTTGTAGCAAAAATTAACACAATCATCCCTGACAGAAAACAAGAAAAATTTCATTTCATTTCATTTCTACTTTAGAATTACAACAAAAACGAAGATGGGCTGGAGTGTTCTCAGATCCTCCAGTTTAAACACGTGGAGTCATTCCACATGTCACTCCATTATCTACAGACCGCCGCCATACACTCACACACTCACTCCACATGTCACTATGCGCCGCTCGCGTCTAGTAAGTTAAGAACTCACACAATATCAGTGTAATAATCTGATTTAAATGTATGCAAATATTATTACCATTCCTATTACTGTCTCGTTTTTTCTATAAGAAATATATATCCACGTTCTCTGTATGAAATATAAATCCAATGTTCTTTGAAACATTCAGACATATTCTGCCATAAAATCTAAAACATTTAGATTCTTTTACACAGTCATCACATTTAGCAGAAAACAATAAATTGTGCTCATTCAACATTTTATGTATTACCAATATACGGAGGCGTGCACCCCTCCTCCTCCTCCCCCCCCCCCCCAGTGTAAGAATGGGGGATTGCAATCGAACCTCACTCGATTTTCAAAAGCACATTCCCCATTGCCTTAAATTATTTATAAGGCAACAACACACGTTCGCTCTCTACAGGCTGATTCTGCAGTTATCCAACCAAACAGATAACAGATCAAGATCTATAAATGCAATTTTGTGTGTGTGTGTGTGTGTGTGTGTGTGTGTGTGTGTGTGTGTGTGTGTGTGTGAGAGAGAGAGAGAGAGAGAGAGAGAGAGAGAGAGAGAGAGAGAGAGAGAGAGAGAGAGAGAGAGAGAGAGATGGTCTCAGCTTGAAGGCATCGAGATTGTTTGTTTCCAGCATTGTTTGTGTATTTTTATAATGATTATTTGCAGTATGGTTGGATGGGTTGTTTGCTGTTTATCGCCGCATTCAGCAATATTCCAGGTACATGGCTGCGGTCTGTATATAATCGAGTTTTCGTGATATCCTCAATTCATCAAACTAATATGGATTTAAATACTCTGATTTTTATATTGGTATTATAGAAGTTGATGGGTCACAACTTTATGGATGACAACTTCTTGTTTATTGCATAGAGCGACGTTTCGGTATAGAATCTTACACCGTTATAAATTAAAAGCAAAACCTAAAACGTCGCTCTATGCAATAAACAAGAAATTGTCATTCATAAAGTTGTATTCTTAATTATTGAAATACTCTGGTACAAAAGATTGGGTAACCCAAAGAGGAACTCTGTTTCACGATGACAGATATGCAGATATATTCAAGATATGCATCGGGAACTTTTCCCATGGTGTTTAAAAGTTCAACAACACGCTTTTCGACAGTTGGATAACCCGTGAAGATCTAGATTCTTAGAATTAGTCTTCAGCATCCCATGCTTGTCGTAAAAGGCGACGAGCGGGATCGGTGGTGGGGCTCGCTGACTTATGTTTAAAGTTTTTTTATTCACTGTACTTGGTTACAGTTGAACGTGATATATGGGTAGGGCAAACTATTACAAATTACATATGAAAACGTAGACAGTATAATGTTTACTGTATTAGGATTATAGATTAAACAACTGAAATGCTACATAGTAATAAGGAGAATGTGAAAGGCTAAAATCTAAAGTAAAGGACTGCATCTAGAACATTCCATTTTCTGTAAAAATGTTTCATATTCCCGTTTTTATCGATTTATTTCTCAATTTCATAAACGTCCTTTGATAATGTTTTGTAGATTGTAAAGCCAGGTTTTTGTCCTTTCATATTCATTACGAAAATGAGGCGCTTTGCCAATAATATCATGTGGTTGAATAAATGATTACCACTACAACAGAATAAAATATCATGATTTGACATTCCATACGTTTTACCAAGGACTTGAGTAACAACATTTTGATGATTGGACAATCAAGATATACATGATAAATATCTTCACTTGCTGAACCACATAATGTACACAGGTCATTATCTATTAATTTCACTTTTAGTGGTTCTCGTTCTTAAATGTCTCTGTGAAAAACTTATATTAAAAATCTTAAAGTTTCGTGTCTTTAGTTAATTGTCTCTATTGTGAAAATTTGGTTTTCAAATTTACCAAATCATTTAGTTCCCCGTTCCATTTGAGACACAAATTCGGAAGGTTATAATCCGATATGAAATTATCATAGAATATCCCTGAGCCTTTACTCGTTCCAAGGATAAGGTCGGTATATTAGAATTGTTTGTTGTTCGTATAACATCTTTCTACTGTTTGGGTATACTAAGGAGAACACGATTAAGATCAAGCACAGAACCCTTAATGTCTAATGTTCCTTTAAGTTCCGCATATGATAGAAAATCGTGGTCATTACAAATAACTAGGGCTGCGCAATATAACCGGTTTACCGAAAAAAACCCGGTTCAGACATGAAGACGATACGTATTGCGATACGCTGATCGAAAACCGGTATTTTGACATGCATTCTGAAAACTTCGTAACACTCGGAAATCTTCGGATATTTCCTTTTTTCATTTGTGCCAAATATTATTCACTTTTTTATTTTTAATCATGAATAAAAGTTGTAAAAAAGCTTAATCAAGCATAGTGATTTTGCTGTGTATTTGCTCTATAAATCAAGCATTACCTCAATTATAAGTAGTTTTTACTTCACGCAATATATTGCAATACATATCGCAAAACATGCGTTTGCATCGCAATATATCGCAATATGAAAATTCCCTGCAATACCCACCCCTACAAATAACCTTAATATAAACTACTCAATGTCTAATCCAGCTATGAACGATCAAGCTTGGTTGGTTACTCTGGTGTTTTAGCCATAGTGGTTGCATGAGTATTTCATGAGTATTGTTACACACATATCTTTTAACATTTGCCAGGCATCAAGAGAGTCTTTCCATAATGGACTTGTAATTTTTTAGTGTTTTATAATGTTGGCTCCTATGAGAACAATGCTTTGCAAAGGGAAATCGGCAAGATCATAATTATTAAATGTTGAAACATAGTCGATAAAGGTTTTCACATAGACCATACTTAGACCACCTACTTCGTACATTCTCACTAAATTAATTTGTTTTATTTTGTCAAGTTTATCATTCCATATGTATTTGAAGAATAATCTGTTCAAATAAGTAATAAATGTTTTCTGGGGATTAGGGAAAGATGAGAGGATGTGGACAGTCGTGGATAAAGCTAAACTTTTTACGACTGTTATTTTCCCTATCAACGTTAAATTACGTCTTTTCCAATTCAGTAGAATTCTTTTTATATTTTCGAGTCTTTCTTTTGTATTGATTACCCATAAGTTTTCTAAATGAGCTTTTAATTTGATTCCCAATACGTCGAAATTCTCATTATGTCAATCCAGCTTATAATCATGGAATAAAACTATTTTACTACCTGCCATTGAACCCAGCCATACTGCTTTTATTTTGTCAATATTTATTTTCACACCTGACATCTTGTAAAAGGAGTGCAAAGTTTTCATAGCTTCGTTAAGAGAGGCTTCAGAACCGTCCAGGAATAAGTCAGTGTCGTCTGCATAGTGACCAATAACATGCTCGATGTCGTTTGACACAATTCCTTTTATTCTGTGGTTTTATCTGATCATTATGCCTAGTATTTCTGCTACCAATAACAATACATACGGAGAGACGGGATCATCCTGTCTACATCCTCTTTCATTGTCGAAAAACGTTGACAAGTGACCATTCTGCATCATACACGAGGCTGCATTAGAAATATATTAACCTGATTTTAATGTTACTACCAAACCAAACTTTTAGAAACGGGTCGCCATTTGTAAACTTCTTCTCTCTTTACCTGGTGTAGAGATACTCCTCTGTTCATCGTCGTGGTCATAGAATCCTTGTTGAAAGTTTCCTATGTATATCGGTGAATCCAAATGTTGAGATTTTTTCCAGAAAAAAATTAAAGAATTCGATAGAGGAAACCACCTAGACCTGGACTTTTGTTATTTTTCATTGATTTAACAGCATAGAAAAGCTCTTCAAGACTAATGTCACGCTCTAGTTCATTTGACAGCTTTTTACCTAAAGAAGGAGCGGCAATATTTTCGAATACAGCTTTACTATCTTCTTCTATATCATAATTTGATTTATATAGGTTTTCGTAAAACCGTTTTTGTTCCTCTATCATTTCTTCCCCATTATCAATATTGAGAGAGTTGACAAGTTTGTATAGCTTCTAGATTTATATGATTATTATAAAGATTTTGAAATAATCACAAGAACAGAGTCTGACCACCTCCCGATTACAGTAAGCCTGTTGTTGTCACGTGACCCGCCAGCTGGTCCCGCACGTGCAGCACACACTCACACTCAGTCACATGCATTCGACAGGTACGCGTGGAGACCGGAGCAGCTCGGTGAGTTTGTGGATATTATGTGCAGTTCCATTGACACTTTCACACAGAACTTTGATAACAATATCCATAAGGACATTAATAAAACCGTAACCTGCTTGCTTGACCTTTTCAGACACTGTTTTTCTCTAACTGATACCCAACACTCCCATACACGCAAGACCCACAGACCAAAGCACGAACAGACACAACCTAAATGGTTTGACAAAGAATGTGAAATTTTAAA